AAAATCAATAAAAATTACTCAAGAGATTGCGAGCATACATCAGAAATGTCTCAGTTGAATCCCTAGGCTGGCTCTGCACATTTGCGGACAGGTACTGCACATTATTCTCTCTGTGCGTAGGTGTGTGTGCCTCCTGTGGCAGTGGATCTGACCCCCTCTGAGATACTGGCCTCAAACCATGTCTAATTAAAGCTGCTTTTCAATGCAGGCGCTCTGGAACTTCAGGTCCCCTCAACAATTAAGTGCAGGATTTCTCCTTTGGTCTCAAGTGAGGAGAAAAGGCACATCCAGAGGGTTGATTATCCCTCTCCCTCTCCCCCACTCTGCCTTTACCCATTATTGGATTCACTTAGTTGATGGAAGCCAATATATAGAGAGCAGGGAGTGACGGGCAGAGCGGCACACAATCAAGAACACCAATCAGACACTGCTGTGACCTAAAGCAGCATAAAGAAATGTCTATAGCCTCACTGATTTATCGTGTTACTGCCACAAAATTTCAATTCAGGTCTACTTATATGGCGGCAAATGACATCATGCTGTATGTCGTCTCAGGGCACTTTACATAGCGAGGTCAGAGAAGCCCAGCAATTTCCCACTGAGCGAGCATTTGGTAACAGCGGAAAGGAAAAACTCCCTTTAAAAGGGAGGAAACCTCCGGCAGAGCCGGGCTCAGAGTGGCCAGAGGGCCATCTGCCTCAACCAGTTGGGGTGAAGGGAGACCAGAGGAAGAAAAGAAGAAAGAAACAACAAACAAGGACAAATAGGAAACCAACGATGCCTGCTATTTAAGCACACCGTGAAAACTCGAGTGCTTAAACAAACGCCTCTGGTTTCTAAAGAACCACTAAACTTTTAAAGAGAAAAAACAACAGAATACGCAAGAGAATTATTTAAACAAATAGTCTGAGGAATAGAGGAGACTTAAGGGCTTAAGTGTGTGAAATGAGGGAATTAGACAAGGTGTAATATGGTTGTGGGTCTGTAGACATAGTCACAGTTTTATATTTCTTGTGCTTAAATGAGCTCATGCTTTAAGTAGGTAAGAACTGTGCCGCCTCCACGGTGAGCAGGTTCCACCGTCACCAGCCTCGGCGAGCTGCAGATAGCCACCGATAAGGCCTCCATTAGGGCTAGTATTTTAAAGCATCTCACCCCTTAATGGACCCCCCTGGCGTGGCCACAGACCCACTATCTTATCCTCACAGGGCCAGTTAACCAGCCTGAGTTTGGCTTCCTACAGGTGTGAGACTGACTGAAACCGCAGTCAGTCCCCACAGGGCCCCTGCTGAGAGTGTGGTGAGGCGCTGATGTGTTGTCAGCTCCACAACAACAACACTTAATACCTCTGCAGTGGCTACCATGGAGAGGTTTACCCAACATTTGTACAGAAGCTCAGTGAAGGTAATGGAAATGTACAGTGTATATGCACTAAGGGAATACTTTCCCCTGCGTCGTGTTGAATGCAAACTGCTTTTCTGCATTTATTATGGGCCATAAATCGAATAACTAGTTTGAATGTTTAGTCTTTTAAAGGTGTAGCTGTACAGTTGGGAGAGAGGCTTATTGTTTCACACCAGTCGTGTCTGATTATGAAAACATAGGAAGCAGCTGGTTGGGTCTGTTGAACACGATGACCAGAAACGAGGCGGAACAGCTTGCCTGGCTCTGTCCATATGTAACTAAAACCACCTAGCTCACTAATTACATAAAAACAAGATTTTACATCGCCTATGTGCCGGACTAGTTCTTGAACGGGAGCCAAGGCCTCTCTGTGAGGCTGTCGGGTCTCCCAGCCAAGAAATAGTGCACCACATGAACTCTTGTAACTACAAATTGGCGTCTATACGCTGGATTTCGTATGGATTAACCGAGCTAGACACAACGTGTTAATAAGCGAGCTTCAAAAGGTGCTGGTGGGCACACCGGCCGAGCTGTCGCCGCAGAATCTCCCAGTCTTTATGCTAAGCTAGGCTAAATATCTGCTGAATGTATAGCTTCTTATTTACCAGACTGAGTGGTATTGAGCCTCTCATTTTGTTTTTAAAAAAAACAAATATCCCAAAATGTCAAACGATTGCTTTCGTCAACAAGTTTGATATTTAGCAGCTCGAGTCATTTGTCTTCAGATTCTGAATTGTGGATATTTGGGTGGTTTTTTTTTTAGAGGTTTGGTCACGAAACAAATATTTTGAACATCGCTCATTAATCAACTGATTAAAAAGCAGATACTAAATGTTTAAAAGCGTGATTAATTGAAGCTGTGTGACATTCATCCTGTTCTCTCTCTCCATGGACCTTCTCTCTTTTTTTTTTCTTTCCTGAGAGTAATTTTGCCTTCAGATTTTAACAAAGCAGAGCCACCTAAAAGGTCAAGTCTTCTTTTGCTTAAATATACACAGAATAATGATCCATGTCAGGAGGACTTTTGTCAGCTGGCTCCTTTTACACAAGCTGGACAAAAGAGGAAGGCGACATCCAAATGTAATTCTCATGGCATCCTGCTGTTGTCTCCTGTCATAATGGAAGAGGCTGCAATCTACCACGTCCACACATTGAACGAAGCCTGGTAATGGGGGTCTTAAAAGCTTATTAATCAACTTGTTTGGGCGCAATGTTGTCAGTTGCTTGACAGTGAAATTAACTCTATGTTCAGTAGAGGTTTTATTAGATTTTTTTCTTTTTTTTTCTACAAAAAGGCAAAACGTACAAACAGGTAACATCACTTTGCAACCAGCACATTGAAACATTACATTCCTATTTTAACACCATGCACTTTAAGATAATGAAAAACAATAAACATGTGTGCGTAATATCAAAGAGGTCACTGAATTATTCATCTGAACGCCGAGCGGGCACCTGGCGAGGATTCAGCGTCGGAGCAGCATCGACGGGATTTCACTCCCTCATGTCCGCTAGCCTAAGGTCCTGTAGGTAGTCTGAGAATTGGTTTAGTGGGACTGATTTTCAAAACACACCGAAATTTCAAAAACCCCCATGGTGAGCACTGGTTTTTATTACCTCAATTAAAAACAAAAACAAAAACACCGCGATACCCCCGTGATCTTTTATCATTCAATGTCTTTTTCCACTGAGTGTGTTCAAGTTTTACAGCATCTTAGAAAAATAATTGGTTCTGTATGTACAACAACAATGGTGCTAGAAACAAGTCAACAGCATTATTTACAACAGCCCGATACGACGTCGTGAAATGAGCGATTGGTGAATATCGACACACTGAATATTCACTTACCGAATGTCTGAACGAGGGTTAGCATGGCGGCCGCGTGTTCAGGAGATATGATGAGTAATAAATATCAATATGCTTCTGTTCTTTATCTGAAATGAAAAACACTGTAAATTTTTTTTTCCAACAACAAAAATGATTCAATCGTCCAAAAACCAATGAAACAAACACAAAACAACTTTCTAAAGGCACACAGAACTATTCCGTCGTAAAGATCGTCTCAGTCGAAGGAATCTGAAATCTTTAGGACGCTGATGTTCGTCTTAAGCGATGATCCTCTCAGACAGCCGTGACAACACAGTGTGATTTTTCCATTTACAGTTGTCGTCATTCGGGGAAAACTTTTACATTCATCAGAAAGGAATCCCGTCTATTCAGAAGAGCGCGTTGATTACTTGCACTTCCAATCCTACGCCACTTTCTGTTCCTCTCTACACGCGCTCCGTCACAAATAGACTTCAATGCTGTAATTCCTGTTACATTGATATGGAACATTAAGTCCGTATTATTAGAAAGTTCAGCGCTAATATTTCAAAGATATGTTTGAGGTAATTTAAGTGTCTCCGCTAAATGGTTTGCGCACAAAAGAGCACGAGTTTATTCTTCGGCCGTAAACCTGAAACACAATCGTATAACATCTATTGGTTCTTTAATAATCAAATATAAGGAGTTTTTTTTGTAAGAATGTTATTTCTGTTCAGTTAAGTTAATTCTAAATATATATAATTAACGTCTGTCTTGATTTGTGCATATATTTGGTCAACACTGTAATCGACAAGAAGTTTATCTGCAGTGAAAAGAGAAGCGTTCCTACGTTAGCGTTTGCTAGAATCGTCTGCGGTTTGATTGGTCGGCATCTGTGAAGGCCGGCTTCCATTTTCTCTCTGGATGCTCGTTAGCCATGCTTGCTAACTCTCCAAACTGAATAGAAACGTAACAGCACAATGAGTCTCCCTCCAAATGACATAAATCGCTAATGCTACAGCGTGTGGGCTCGTCACAGAAATGGAAACAAGATCTTGTATCGGTGTTTGTAGATTATACAGAGCTACAGCGTTCTCCGTTCAATAAAGCACCACGAGTGCGTCTCCTATCAGTGGTGACCCCTCACATGCCAGTCAGCCGTTACCATGAGAAATAACTTAAAGCAGAGACACAGCTTCCAGAAATTATCCTGTTCTGATAAATTAAAAAAGTATATGCACAATAGCTGCAGTAATAGTTTATAATTCCTTAGACCAAAGTGATAAAAAAAAAAAAAGAAATATCAGCTGATATATCGTCATCAGTTAGTTAGTTTAACTCTCAAATATCAACATCAGCGTCACAGATCCAGTACTGGCCGAGCTCTACCACCAACACAACCTTCCTTTTATGTTTGACAGCTTGCTGTACCTACAGTAAACACACCGGTGCTCTGCCTGAACACGGCACAAGGAAGGTCATTAATACTGGAGGCCGTCGTAGAAATGTGTCTCACAACCTTACAGATGAGTTTCTGTTAAATTGTTTGTCCAGCAGCTAAGCAGCAGTCTGAGCAGCAGAGCAGATGCACAGCTAGCAGGTGTCCGACACAGTGTGATTGCTTTGATATCAGTGTTCTCCGTGCGCAGACCCCACACCTCGCTCTCCCGGCTTGGACGCCGAGACGTCCCCCAAAGCTACAGCTCGTCATTGTCGTCGTTGTTGTCAAAATGGCAGGTGCGGCTTCTCTCCAACCTGCGGTGAGCTGTAAGCGGAGACGGCTCCATAATGGAAGATAAGCCGCCGCTGCCTGGATCTCTGTGTTTGTCGGCCGGGCTGTCACAGAAAGAGGCGTATGATGTGTGTGGTGAGAGCCACCTGGTGAGGGTGCGGAGAGCCAGGACCGGTTATGAGGAGATCAGAACAGTCGGAGGGGGGAGCAGAGAGGTGAGGGATCAGACGCTCAGGGTCATGTTACGCAGGAGCCACTGCTGAGAGCGGCTGCCGTTGCAGTCTCTCAAGGTGGGGACCATCTTGTCCTCCTCGGACGGCATGTCCAAGCACTGGTTGCTGTTCACGTGCAGCAGAGTGAGCCGCTGAGCAGAGAGGGATGGAAAAAAAAACATGCAATTACACAGATGTAATGTACTGACAAGACACAAATAAAGGAGAACTGCTTCCTTGTTTCACTGCACCAATTCTGTCTTGACACATCTCTTGTTCGGAAAAAGTTGAATTTACGTGGATGACTCAGACGAACCTTCACAGACACACTTCAGCTATCGATTCCCCACATTTCACAAATTCACCTGTCGGCCCAGTAAATGAGCCCGAGCCTGCAGCTTGTTACGCTCATTAGCTGTAGCCGGAGCAAGAAAGAAACAATGGGAACATCAAGAGAGTCGATGTTCCAGGCAAGGAAAAGGGAAAGTGCTGCCCCTTGAACAACAGACCACATATTGAGGCTGCTGTGAGGATTGAGGCTCCTGTTCTTGGTGAGGTTTGTCATTAGCAAGGATTTCTCTGTGAGTGACTGTTGAGCATCAAAGGCATCAAAATGCAAAAAAAAAAAAAAGCAGTCTACAAAAAACTCTCTGCTTCAGTGTGACTGCAACACTTGGTGTTAAACATTTAGACCATTTTGGATAATCTAACGAGTTGTTTTAATGTTAACTTGGTTCCAGTGCTGCCAATACCACTGGAGAGGTCCGCTCCAGTCTGCAGCTCTGTTCAGCTTTCTGTCACTTCAAATGTTTAGGCCTGCAAACTGCTTCTATGCTCTCCGCCCTGCATGAAATGGCAAATGGACAAAGTGAAGAAGTGGTTGAAATAAGTCAACCCAATGAAAAATAACGTTTTGTCAGGAGGTGCTTGGTTAAACTGGGGAGAAAATACCAGGTAGTCAGCAGTGAGACGAGTTTCTGTGAAAGGTCCAAAGAGGAAAGCGTTTGTTCAAACATGAACTGGAAGATCTTTGATATGTTGAAAAGACAACCCAGGCATATTTGACTTCTACTCGGGCCTATTTTTTTACCTGATCCCAACGACTAATTTTTTTTACACAAACAGGAATAAACAAAACATCGACATGTTACCACCTTTAAAGTTCACATAACAAACTAAATCATAAACAGATGCTCATTTACACATCAGGCAGTTACACAGCAGCTTTTTCATACATTTGGAGTCGTGATTCTGGACTCCTGTGTGCCCCAATGTACTCTCTTATAGCTCGATTTTGGTCTCCACCATCTCTTTGCAGAACTATATGCTTCCTTAGTTGCTAACGTTCATGTCATTACCTTCATGCAGACCAGAAAGATGCTACAAATAATCAGTTGCATGATAACTACGTTTGCTGCTACGAGCGACCTCTTCAAACATTTATATGCTCATGTAATACATGATCAATAACTAAGAAATACAGCAGCGTCAAGTATTTATTCTGTTTTAAATGGGCTTTGCAACCAATGTGATGTGTAATAGGTACAATTAGCAGCAGCCATAATGCTGTGTTGCTTGTCAGCAAAAACCACATCAATACTATTGATCTACACTAGTTTAAACTTAACAGCACTTACATGCATCTGTATGATTAATGAGACACATTTATATTCCATATCGTTGACCTGTTTACATGCAACCAGGAAACATGAGAAGAAGAACAAATATGACAGTGAGTTAAACTAAAATCCAAGTCCTAAATGGTAAATTGTTGTTGTTGCATGTAGCACCTTAGCTCTGGATCTGGGGAAACACTGTCTCATTGCACTGTGTACTGTCCAGCTGCATGTGGTTGAAATGACAATAAAGCCCTTTTGACTTAAATCCTAAACAGTTACACAACACAGACGTCCTCACAGTTGTGAATTCTGTAAATATTGATAATTATAAATACTGGCATTTATGGGCAGTTCATTAACAGATCAAATATATTTAGAAAAACACGTGTCATTTGATCGGAAGAGGTGTTCTATTATATTGCTTGCATGTACACAATGGCACATTTACATCATGATGTATAACAGTAGCACAAACGGACAAGCTGCAAACAGATAATGTATGAACAACATGTTGCTGTTCCAAAAAAAGGAAAAAAACTTTGCTATTGTGTCTTCATAACGTTCTGAAAACAGGAGCAGAGGTGCATCATAGGCCAAATATGCCCTCATCTAATAACTACGTTTAGTTTTGTTCCAGGATCTGTCTCATTCAGCTCAGTTAACAATAACTAATTAACAAGCCTTCTTCATTTTAGTGAAGCTAATCATGCCCCGGATTTCATTTAGTTGCTTCCGTTTCAGGGTTCTGGTTTTGTGCGAGCAGGCTCACCGTCCCTGTCACACCTTACCGACACACTGGAATAAAACACGCTCATTGTTAATGTAATTATTGTATTCCTCTCCTGCTCCCCTCCACGGCGTCTTCCCCCCTCTGCTGCTCTGTCACGTTAAACCAGAGAAGACAGACGACAGAACGAACCGGAAAAACACACCTGTTGTGATTAGCTGAGCTCGAGAACCACAGGACAGAACCTGTGGCTATCTTCCACAGGGGCACCAGAGATGAACACCCCTCACCAACCACAGCTTTCAATGGGCTTGATTTACTATTTATGTGAATTCCCCACGAGGTACCACGCTTCCGCAATTTCGTTCCTCTCTCGAGTTGCTTTTTTCGTCCTAATGATCACATGCAGAAGGACGTAGAGTCGGTTTACAGGGAGAAGACGACCCTCTGCTGGGGAAAACACTGCCATGAGAGGAATTGGGGAAAATGTAGAAGGTGCTGGTAAGCCTCCAACAAAATGTATGGATTTATGAAAGAAAACTTTGCAACAACAGAAGAGAGGTAACTTCGGCTTTACAGCTATTCTGGGAGTCGTTCTCAAACAGCGCAAATAAAAAAAACCCAACACACGTGAACCGCTATAAACCACAGTTGGTGTATGGCATTAAATATGTGCATTGGCATGATATTTTTATCCTGCAGCTGAGGCGTAATTCTTCATTAAAACAAGATTGTGCTTTGACTGTTGACAGAGGATATTCAGACTAATGAGCTCACAGAGACGCTCAGGCCATGTTTGATCTCAAGCTATAAAACACAAGGGCCTGACATTCTCTGCCTGGATACAAAGAAGTGCTCAGTCGCGTACGTGCACGCTCACACACACATACATCTTTCCTGAAGTACACATTGCAGACTGCCCGACAGGGCACATTTGTTCAAACAGAGAAAGAACAAAGAGAGCAGGTGGCATACGACCTTACACACCTGCCAAAAAACAAAAAAAAACAAAAAAAAGGGAACAATAAGGCTCCTCTGCTCTACAGACATTGTACTTTCTGTGCTTTCTTTTAAAAAAAATACACATTTTCTAAACAAAGCTACAATTTAGACGCAGAGGTCTCCTTATACTGTAGGGAATCATCACTATAATGAAAATCTAAACTGCTCTCTTCAACCAAACAGAAAAAATATTTTTGTAGCAGATGACAAGCACCATGAATGAAGACTATCCTTTCTTAATGGCATATTCATACGTGGAGCTTCTCTGAGCTGGAGGTACATCTAATCTATAAATCATGAGGCTGGTTGAGGAATTACTGAGAATAGTATTTTTTCCTTCATTCAAAAGATCCAAACCTTTTGGATGGGATGCCCCAGCAGCTCAACTGGACAACACGGCGCTCCATTTGCAGGAGCTTCAGTCCCCAACACAGAGGTCGTGGGTTCGACTCCCGCCCATGGCCTTTTGCTGCAGGTCTCTCCCCCATCCTTCTCCCCACTTTCCTGTCTGTCCTTCACTGCTCTGTCAATAAGGGCGAAAAAGCCCATTAAAGAAAATACTTTTTTTTTTTTTTTTAAAGATCCAAACCTACTCTCATGGCAGAGAAGACAGAAGGGAAGTATAACAGCGGAGAGTAGAAAAAATGTTCTGCATTTAATGAAATTACTAGAAATGTGGAGGTCCTGTCCTTTGCTCATAATTATTTCATGCCTGCTTTGGGGCAGAGAAAACTCCCATCTCAGCCTCCCAGCAAATCAAGCAGTGTCTCCTGAGCAAGTTACTGAGTGTGTGCACAGCTGAGACCGGCTAATTAAATGAGGATGCTTTCTAACCATAAGCCCCGGCTGAGGAAAAGTATCCTCCTTGTCACCAGGCAGCACACTGGACTTGCCGAAAGGCACAAGAGTTCCAGTTTGAGTCGATCTCGTGCCAACCATGGAAGGAGGTCTACAGGGCTGCACCGCTTTTTGTGGGAGATACAGAAACAGCAGATACCTTTTATCTCAAGGCAGAGTCAGCAACAGTCTCATTTGCTTTAATGGTGCCCTGCTCTTGTGTACATGCTCTCCTCCAGGGCTGCCTATGCCAGGAGGACCTCTGAGTGTGAACAGCAAATCAGGCCATCTAACAGCAGGTCACTTTACTGCTGCAACTCTGACACACACCAGCAGTCCTGGGAGCTCCTTACCCAATTTAGCCTGCTTGGACACAAAAACTGTGGCATGCTACAGTGAAATTGCTCTTTAGCGTTTTGAGAGATACAATTGTGCACGACTCTGAGGTGCAAACTCCAGATAACTCAGCAGAGCAGAATTGGCTATCGAGAGAATGACTGAGAGACACAAAGACTGGAAATGGCAGGAAAAATACCGACCCTGAAACGGAGAGAAATGCTAAACATTCCTTACAGAAGTATGTAAATAAGCAGGCTGAGTGCTGAAAGGCATCGAAAAACGGAATACATTGGTTTTACAACATGCACATGGCAGAGAATGTGCACAGCTGCTCTCGGCCAGTGAGAGAGTGGCCAGAGAGGCCAGGGCCATGAAAGGTAGGTTCACAATGAAGGATCACTTCAAAGGAACTTGTAAACAATGGCAAGCCCATTTCAATCAGCCCTGCACGTAGATAATCAGCTAAAAATAAACACGTCCTCCTCCATCTCAGGCATCATTCAGCGAGCGCGGGCAGTCCAGGGGACAGCCAGTGGATTTTCACATCAAGATAAAATATTTATGTTGGAAAATAAATGTCAAATGAGATCTAATTTAGCATGAAAACTGGCTAAAGGTCTTGCAGATAGCATCTTATACACAGAACCATCTTGATGGGACATCTGTCATTGCTTAACATGCCTCTGCCCCGGTCTTCATGTGTTCCCTCTAAAAGGTCACCGGTAAAAGCTACTTAATGCTTCCTACGACTATTTGCATGCAAATTCTAGCACCTGGGTGATCAACAACAAACTCCAAATTTACCTTTTTCTCACCAGCGTAAACAAGAACATAAAAACAGATGACAGTGAAAGCCCAAACTAGTCAGAATGATCTACTGCACTAATACAAAAACTACATTGCTACAGAGCTGCTAAAATGACCACCAGCCTCTAGACTAAGCCTAACTTGTGCTAATCTGCTCACCTCAGGCCCCCCACAGCCCCAAGAGGAGAGGTGAGTTTAGAGAAAATAATCCGTGGGACTGAAGTAGAGGTGTCTAGCGACCTCCAGACGAGTGTAGTTGTGGAGGCTCCACGACTGTATCGGACTGTTGTTACAGTACTCCACAGTGGGGCCATAGGTGCCGTCCTCCAGACGGCCGATGGTCAGACATGATTGGGTGATGATGTGGAGGAAGGTGTGCTTCTGCAGCAAGCCGGGAGGGAAAAGGGACAGATGGTTGTGAAGGTAAGTCACAGAGTCATCAAAGTATTCTCAAATTGAAACGTCTGTTCTTCACAGCAAACTTTTGCAGTTTTTTTACTGACAGCTACGTCAAAAGTGTGAAATTTATTGAAGGTGTTCAAAACCTGGACTTACTGGATGACTTTTAAATGAAAATAATAATATTTCATGTCAATGCAGCGTAACCAGTAAATACTTAATGCTTGCAAATAACTTCCAGAGTTAATTTAATCTGTATATGTTTTACTTAGTCATTATATTATGTTAAATAAAACACCAGAGCCACATTTCAAACAGACGATGAGCACATCAATGAAACTGACTGAAAAACACCAATAAACTGAAACATAATGTGTCAAAGTCTGTACAATAGAAATGTAAGATTTTTCCTTAAAATATTAAATGTTAAATGCAAGAAACAGTTTTTTTAATAACAATAAAAAAGAAAAACAAAATACAGTGAAGGTATCTGGTTAGAATGTTCCTATATTTGGCTTTATGCTATCTTCATGTCATGTCAGTGGTATGATAACTAAACCCTTCTTTATCCAACACAACATGAAAGCAGCATTAGTATAAAGAAAATGTCATTTCACATTGTGAATTTGATGCCTGACAATCCATGACTCAAACGCTGTCTATCCAATATACTCATTAACTGTATTTTCCTGCACTCCAGTTCACTAAGCATGAATTAGATAACACTTAGCATTTAGCTTAAGGCTGGTAAAAAGTAAACAATAGAGAACGCTGTCTTACAGAGAAGCTGATAGCTTCCAGTTGCTTCACTGGAGTATTTAGTCTCCACGACACTAAAACAAAACTTCACATGTACAGCAAAGCAAACAGTCCAGCGAAAGACCCGGAGAACTGAGCAGACTTTAACATTCTGTGGGGAGGAATTGTAATCACTACAATGTTTGTAACTGGTATATTGTTGTTTGTTTGATGGTGAGGAAAAGCACATTAAGCAGCTTGTTTCTGGCTGAAACTGCAGAGCAGGTGAAGAAGGAGAAGAAGAAGGAGGAGGGCTGTCGGTCACAGATGTAGACGAATACAGCAGGAAGATGGAAAAGTAAGGCGTCCCTGTGAAAATGAAACTGATGACCAGATGAAATGTTAATGGTACTGTAGTCACCCAGGATTCAGTCCCTGTCAGTCACACCTGGACTAAAAATAACGTCGGCCACTGACAGCGGTGAAACCCCAGCGCTGTTTACAACAGAGACCGGATCTCTTCCTTTATGAATTATTCAACTTTTTTTTCATTTTAAGAATGCACCCAGAGAACAAAGTGTAATGAAATGATTTCTCCTAGGGTTTGTTCAGTGCTTGATGGAAAGGCCTCTGGGCTTCCTCCCTCTGTCATATCAACATGTCAGCGATAGGACATCTCAATCACTCATAGATAACATTGTATTCACTGCAGTCTTTTCCAACCATCTCCCAGTGGTTTAAAAATGCATAAATTGTTAATATAAAAATGCTTTTTCAGTTGTATAATCCATAATGTATTTTTACTTCTGAGGCAACAAGGCTTGAGGAGAATATTTTAGTTCTCCTGTGAGATTCAAAAAAAAGTCTCTGTTTTCTGCCTGCAACATCTGTTTCTTCATTGGACTGAATATTGAAATTGGAGGACTATTACAGCTTGCATAACCGGGAATATTAGGTGAAATGAAACCCTGGTGTTTAATGAGCAGTTTCTGGCTTTGTCATTCGTCTCATTTTCGTTATCATTTGGGTGCTACAGTAACACAAACGGGCAAATTGTGTCAGATGCATTTGTATGTTATATGAATCCAGCAGTTTCTTAAATGCTGAGAAGTCTGTAATGAACTACACAACATAGAAGTGCAGTACATGGGTTTTCATGGCTCAGATGGGCTTTTGGGAGTAAGCATGATCTCATCTGTGTACAATAAAGGTAAAGAGCACCTGATTTCACAGAAACATTTTCTTTTTATTTCTGGCAATTTCTCTGATGTATATAATGTGTGAGTAAACTAAATCTCTTTTAACACGACTGGTTAAAGGCCAGAATAGCCATTTTTATTCTGGTGATTTTGCTTTGCTGCTGGATAAAACCTTTCAAGGGGCAACACTAACACTAGATTATTAGTTTTTCACCTCACCATTAATTGCTGTTTTGCTTTGATTTCTAAAATGTGTCTGATCTTAGTAGGTGATGTTTACTTTGGTAGACTGAACGTGTCATTGGTTTGAATAATTTGTCCATTTTTGCAGCAGATGTGGTAACTTAATGTTGACCCACACTGACTAGTTGTTTGCTGAATTTTGTAAGGGAGCGATGACTAAATGAAAATGTTTTTCTAAAGAGTCTATTTGGTTCACAAATTCCCTCTTCTGGGAAAAAAATGGTTTCAGCTCACAGCAAGACTTAAACGACCTACCCTAACATCAACCAGCAATTCATGGTCCACACATGGTTTAAGGATCTCACAAACATGGGGAGCACAAGATGTGAACTACGGGGAAATATTCAGGAGGAATGGCTTGAACAGCTTACCTCGAAATCATATTCCCACTTGCCAACATACTACATAAAATGAAAGAAGATGAGAGGAGAGTCACAGCTGCTGGGTGAAAATACCAACTCAACTTCAGTGCTGCTTGGAAAAAAAAAAACAACAACATACAGCTCCACCTGGTGGCCAAAAAGAGGTATTCCATTTCCCCCGCTACCACCCAAATCGCCCAGAGTACATCATTGCTCATGCGATTGTCTCATGACACAGACAGGTGCAATCAATCAGCAATTCATCAGTCATTCTTCAGGAAACCAATCATTAGGAGGCAAGAACGGCCACCTGCAATAACAGCCTCGTGTTTTGAGTATCTGCTCGTTACAGGAAACCTAGATCGTACCTCAGCATCGTACTCAAACATCTGATTGCCCTTCATGTGGTGACACTTGAGCATGACGACAGGCCCGTTGAGGCGGGAGACGTCCAGACAGAGGTCATCTGTCCTGATTTCTTTATCCGCCGTGTACGAGAACACCTGGAAAATGAGATCTCATTTAGCCCTTCAAAAAAAACATCAGCCAATGCCAACATTATTCATCTTTTTCCATTCAAGGAACAGATAGGGGTTTCATTTTGATTACCAGTCTCCATCTTTGTGATTTGCAGTGTAATGCAAACCTGATTGCAATTGATTATGTGCTGGAGAAGGTGGTTTTAGTGCTTTCGGCAGATATTTTACTCCCCATGTTTGTGTTTTCCTGTAACTACAGGATCACACTGAACGTCTGTCCTGTGAGCTGTAGAAGAAACTATAGTTGCAAAGATAAAGGATGCAATGATGAGACCAGAATACAATAAGTCTGTGCCAAAAACCTGTGAGCCTAATTAAAACTGGACCTTAGAATTAAGAGAAAACTTGGCGAAAACCAAAACTTCAACTGTATTGAAAATCTCTGGATTATAGTTGATGAATTAAAGTTGGCAATTCACACACACATCGCATCCAAACTGGGTTTAAGCTGTCAGGCATGAATGAAACCCCAAGATACAGACATGAATCTGTGGGTTTAATTTAAATTTAAGAGATTTTTATTCTAAAAATGTATTTTACATATTACTGGAAATAATTATATGCAGCAATTTGCCTGAAAAAATTAACAGTTTGTATCATGTCATGTCATGTATTATTGTGTGTAGATAGATTCAACACGTTGTGCATGTAGATAACACAAAAAGGAGCAAAAAATACTACATGTACAATGAATCCTTACATCGGAAAAACATTACATTTATACCATTATTTCCTCACCTGGTTTCCGCCCATGCCGTGGCAGTTGAAAAAGCCGACCTTCTCATTCTCCTTTCTTCCCATGTTGTCCACACACTGGTTAGTTTCAACATTTCTGATCTACACACAGAAAGTTTACAGTGAGAAGTTCAAATTAAACTTCAAATTACAACTGACTCCAGATGTGTTCATGTCATAGTTGGTAGTGGACAACATAGAATGCACAAGTACAACAGTGTGTTGTCGGGATCCGAATTGTACACAGTTTTCTTAACTGACAGTCAGCCGCCATAACAATCAATAGTTGCAACCTTTCAGTCTTTGTTGTTCTCGTCTCTGTTGGTTCCACAGTGGAAACACAGTTACTGGACAGTTCTCGTGAGTTTAATCAGTCTGCACTGAGACCCATACAGCCGCTTAGAGGGACAACGATGAATCAACTTATCGATTAGTTGTCAACTAATTACACAATTGTCAAATATTCCAACAGTCGATTTATCAGTTTGAGTCGTTTTTGTTACAATCAGTCTAAACTCTGTGACTTCAGCTTCTTCAGTGTGAATATTTTCTGGTTTCTTTCCTCTGTGAAGATCTTTGGACTAAACAAGACATTTGAGGAAACTGATCCACATTTTTCTACTTATAATAATCATTAGTTGCTTAATTGTTGAAATGAATGAAACACAGTGGATGTTCTTCCTCTTTCCACAGTGAACTTGAGTCACGATGGTTTCTACATCAGAACAATCCTCGCACCTGATCTCCATGATGGAGTGGCTTGTTCGCTGCTAACGTTAGTCCAGCTGCTGGAAACATCTGCTCAGGGGGAACAGATGTCCACAAATACTGTCGCAGCAACTTTATCACTCGGGGAAATCTGTCAGCGTTCACTGCCACCTCTGAAATGTATTTATACTCGGAGAAGAGTGTCGCTGATGCATTCCGTCACTTAAGTTTTAATGTTGTTGGAAGCATGTAATCAGAGTCCTGCTGCTCCTGAACGTTAGCGGCGTTGGCAGCTACAGCTGCTCTCGCTGACAGACACTTAGCTCCCGGCCTGTGTTAGCATTTAAAACCTACTTTCGTGTTAGCTTGAGCCTCAGGTGCCTGCAGCTAACCCGGACAGCTGCCAAACTGTTTTTCTTTTTTTAAACTTTACATTGCAGAATTCATCAACACAACTGCAACAGCCAGACAGCAGGGAGGTGCGCTTGTTTTATGCGACCTTTGTGGGCGGTCAGCAAACACACCTGTAACTCCATCTCAGTAGACAGCAAGGGTGCCACCTAATGGCATAATCAGGCACTACAACACATCTGCAATACCTTTACTGACATGTATGTCCCTCATTTCTGCCTTACCTGTTACAGTATTTAAAATTGATTAAATTATTAATGGCAATGAATCGACTAAAAATTAAGCATCAACATCCCCAATTCTATATGTGTTGGGGTGTTTGTACACAAACTAAGCAGCATGACTGAATGAGAAAGCAAATATGTTATTTTCGGTGCCAGACAAAGGCCAGTAAGGTTCTGCTCAATAGTTATTAATAAATCTGAAGCTTCTTGTCTACAGATCCTTGTACATTCACATTTATGACTGACCTCTTCTTCAATGTTTACATTTTTTTTTATCCAGGGATCTTTTAGCATAACATTCAGATGTATTTTTAAAATATTTAAAACATAGATTGGAGCAGAAACACAGTGTCCAGAAACACTGGACTAGTCTGTTTTTTTCATAACTTTAATCAGCAACCACTCAGCTAAGTCCTGTTTTTTATTTAAACCTTTTTTGGCTGTAACTTCTCAAATATGAGAATTTGATGCTATTCTTGAATATATTTAGGATTTGATGAGTTTGTCAGATGAAACAAGTCATTTGAACACTTTACCTTGGGCCGTTGGAAACTATAAAGAGCCTTTTTGACCCAGTGACAACAGCTTGCTGTTTAGGAAGCGCATGCTGCTGATGTTAAAGCCAGATCACACACACAAGTCACAGATTTGAAGATGCTTTCTTCTCAGACAACCCGAGTGAGAGACAAAACTGACGGCTACAACAGCCACCACCAGCCAATTTTAGCCCAAATTTGTCAAGTCGTTTTCTCATTACTGGCTCAACTGTGATTGGTCATTAAATTTTTTTGACATGAAAAATGTTTATCTCCATGTCCACTATTTGACTCCATAAGAATATAACAGATGTGATGTCACTAAGTTATGTTAGTCCAGCTTCTCCTCATTATCTTCACTTCTAACGCTGAAATAGAGCTGACCTGACTACACAGTTCTGAGAAACCCTGTTATCACAGCTCCGACTGCCTTACAGTCAAGTCAGCTAATCTAATGAACTCGCACATTCACAGAGCTAAAGCTGAGCTGACTGTATATGTTGCCTAAGCCATTATTATGCCTATCAAGCAGGAATAGAATGGCATTCATAATTAAGTGATATAAAACCTAATGGTTCCAGCTGTTAAAGAAAGGCTGACTGTGTGTTACCGAGGATGAGAATCAGCCAGAAGTAGTCTGGTTTAGAGAACGATGGGAGGAGAGGTGCTGCAGTGGCTAAAGGGGGAGAGAGAGAGAGTGAACCAGCTCCTTTTACTGCAGTATAGCAGAGCAGCACAGATGGAAAAAAAAAATCCTCTCATCCTCAGCTGTATGAATGTTGAAGGATTACAAGCTCATTTCGCCCTGAGTTCTTCGACTGACATTACTTTGAAAAGGCCTCCGTCTATCGTCGGGGCGCCGGAGCCCATGTCAGCGCTGACATTAGCCCGTGCTGCACTGCTGTCGTCACGGAGTCATGTGCATCAAGAGGCAAATTCAGGTCACTTACAAAAACCTTTACTCGGAGTGAATTGGAACTGACTAATAAAAGGAGCTTGAACCGCTATTATCTTGAAAACAACGGGCTGTGAATTCATATGTCGAGGCAGGAAATGATCAGTTCCTATAATCTCCTTTTGCTTCATCCTGTAACAAATCCTTGAAAAGATCTGCAGAAGTCGTAAATATTTCCATCTATAAAATACATAGGGAGCTGGCTAATGATTTACAACAATGTCTGAGGGATTCTGATATATTTTTTTTAAACTTTCTTGTCTTTAAACTTTTGCTCAGAGTAGAAAAACAAAACTGGACTGTGAGACTGTGGAGGATGTATACATGAGCCTTATCTCATCCAAACAGAATGCATAGACTAATTGTGTAAACACGCGCAATGGATCAATACCGACCGCACGGACATGTCCATGTTTGGCTATCATACATGTTCAATGCAAACAACTGGGGGCCGTTTGTTTTTATCTTGTTTTGCCAAGCGTTTGCTGGACCCTGAGATCTTTCCGATTTATCTCGCAGCAATATTGTCTTTCTGAAAACGCAGCCCGGAGGCTACAAGGACACATCTGACTGAACGCGGGAGGAGCTGCTGCATTATAGAAGATCAGAGTACAAGAGCGCTCATACTTCACCAAGTGAGTAGTATCTTCTCGGGATCTGGGAGTCTGGGTAGATGTTCTCTAGATACCAGGAGAACGGTTTGCACTTCAAGGCCTCGCGGAGGGCTTTACGGGAAGAGACGTCTCCGTAGTCCACCCGCATCACGCCTGCAGATGAAATGTCGAGACAGGCGTTCAGCCACACGGTATCGGCGGACATCATCAGCTGGAATTTACCTCATCGCTTAAATGTCTTGTTCTGCTTATAGAAGGGCACGTTTATTGTCTTGCACCACCAAGACTTACCACCAGGGGGATCCTTTATTTAAAAAAAGGCTGGTATTTGAAAGTACGGGCCATGTGAATGATCAGGATTTGCTGTTAAGTAACACACAGTAAATCACTTGACTTCTGTAATCCACTTGATACACACGGCTGAAGCTACGGCATCTCCTTCAGAAATGCATGAGTGCAACAATTGTGTGCAATATTGTGCGGCGTGACGTTCGTTACTTGAGCCAAATGGAAACGGCGTGATGTATCAGTCCTGATGAAACTGAAGACTGAGGAAGGATTAGACAGTGACTGGGCACAGACACTTACAAACACATTAGGCAGATGGTTTCTCCCTAGAGTGCCTCTTGAAGACTCATAGCTTGCGTGTAGATAGATCTGGGGTGGTAATTTATTATGAAAGAGCGTGATTGCGACGGGGGGGAAAATAGAGCACAATTTTCAAACACCAGCCAACATGGAAGACCTATGGTGCCGTATTGTATAGATTCATCAAACAGGGGCGAGACAATGCAAACGGCACCCTCTGTAATACCAATAACATCTCACGCTTTAATCTGGGAAATAGAAATTTCAAGTTGGCAGATAAAAGCAATGAGCCGAAGGCCACTTTTTCTCCCTGTGGCTCTATTTCCCCCTTTTCTCTTTTCTGTCTCTCTCGGCCTGAGCATCACATGTTGCAGATGATGAATAGCCTCTTTGATCTTGAAATCACCAGCGCAGAGGAGGGACAAGGAGGGAGATACACTTTTAATAGGATCACTAGGTGCCACTCCCAAATTCAGCCTGAGCAACATACTGTGGTCCTCTGTGCCAATAAGTGAGGTCTGGCAGCAGTGCGGCCCAGATCATTCTCCCTAATGTCCTGGAGGAACAGACAGTCATTGCGGGGCCACAATACGCAGAAAAACTCATCCATCACAGCCCTGGCTCCGTCTGCACACCTGCCCGTGGAGAATCCTGCCTGACTGAGTGGAAGAGAAGGTCACAATTTGTGCAGTAAGATCGGCAGATTACGGATGATCCCTTATAGGTTGGCTGGCATCTAAAACACTTAACCAGAGATTTCCAGGAAACTGCTGTCTGCTGAAGGGTAATCACATTACTAAGTCGGCAGATGGAGGGGTACTCATCTCTCAATCTGCGCAGTCGTATTGTTCTAGTTTGTCCGTATGCGTTTGAGCTCCGCCGGAGAGACGACCACGTTTGACAAATTTCTGAACCCAAGGTCAGGAGCGCGCTACGAATGTGTCTGAAAGTAGGGATGAATTAATCTCACTTTGAGGACGACAAAGCAGCGTTAAATTCCAACGTGAGGGAAAAAAGAGAAATGTAAATTCCTAAACGAATGAGGGGGAGAAAAAAAAAAAAGCTAGAGAATGAAAGGATAAAATAGAGCAGACAAGTCCGGTTTTTTTTCACACCAATTTGCAAAATGTAATATCAGCGACAGCATAAGTAGCACAGTGGGGTCTGGTAACGAGGATTATTTATATCTGCTTTTGAACAATGGTGCACGCGGAATAAAACACCCATTAAAATCCCGACTGAACCGTGTACTCCTTTAAACTTTTAACACATGTAAAATTCATGCCATCTCATCATCGGCGGCAGAGAGATGCAGCGACACGGTGGAAGTATCGCATACCTGGTGATATGATGTAGAAGAAGTCTTTGAAATCGTCCATCCACACTTCGGCCAGGCGCCTGTTGTTCTTGTTGATAACTTGGCCCGTTCCACCTGGGAAGCTGTATGGGGTGGCCTTCCGGAAAACATGGCCCACATGTGAACACGTGACAATTTCCAAGGAGCCGCCGCACTGCCAGATCTGTGGACACATAGAAACAATGCATGTGGGGGAAAAAGCAGACAACTATAAAGGATGAAAACTTATAATACAGACAGTAAATGCCAGTTTCTCTATTTGAGGCTCAGGGGATCTGGCAGATGATTCAATTTGTCACTAATTTTTACTTTTAAATTTCAGAGCCGGAAGGCGTCAAGGTAGAGCGCAGGAAAGAAAAGAGGCCATTTAGCATCCACCACGTTACTGTAGAGCTGTCAGTGATTGGACCCTTCAGCTCAGTCGCCTGCTTTAGAGCAGCATTCATGTGTTTTCTGATTTAACATTTCATGACTGGCTCAAACTGATTCATCTATCAAGAAGTTTCTTTTTATGGGCTTTTTAATGTCTTCTTTATTCTGCAATTCATGTGCAATCACAAAGAAACTAGCCCGTGACCATTCTTAGGACATTTTACTTTGCCAACGGTGCATTTTGCCTTCGAGCATTAACATTTTTAAGGCTAGCAGCATGGCTTAAGGGGATGGAAATGTAGCTCTGTATTTAAAGCAGTTTGGTCTAGACTGAAATATCAACTATTAGTTGGATTGCTATGAAGCTCTGTACAAATATTCACGCTCCCCTGAGGATGAATTATAGCAGCTCTGCTTATCTCACAGCTTTCATCATCCTCAGGTCAAATTTTCAAACTAATGGCATTCCCATGAGCAGTGCTTTGTGTTTTGTGCTAATGAGCAAATATTGGAATGCTAATATACTAAATTAAGATCATGGACTTTCTAAACATTGGCATATTAGCATAGCCATGGTGAGCATGTTCATATAAGCATTTATTCCAAAGCCCCACTGTGCCCAAGATATTCATCAAACACTTCATTTGAAGAGGAAACGTGCAGAAACTAATATTTCAGATTCTTAATGTGATTTGAGGGCATCAGTAACAGAAGACCAGAGTCTGTGTGGTGGAAGTCAGCATCCTTGATATTCAGAAACAGCATCACTTTATATAATCTATACAAATATCATCCTAAAGAGAATATCACAGTGCAATTAAAGCTGCCAGACTCAGGCGTGCCATTGCCGTCAGAAGTTGGCGTCACTGTGGATGAGGCCCTGTAGGGACATCTCATTCCACAAAACAGGTATTTCCAAGATTTCTGGCATCCTTTTCTTAAATTTCTAACTTGAATCTAAAGCAAGAAAGACCTAAGTGTGGCTAAACGTAAAGAAACTGGCATGTATCCACTGACATCAACCGAGTCCGGTAACACGATAACATCATTAGAACATCTCTCCGGCTGTCTGCCACTCACTCTAAACGACATTTCGAGGTTCTCTCCTCCCCATATGTCCATCCCTGGATCGTAGCTTCCAATTTCTTCAAAATATGATTTGTCTATGGAGAATAATCCCCCTGCCATGGTGGGAGTCCTGCGAGAGACAAATTACGACAAAAAAAACACAAAACCTTTTGTAATATCACATCTCTTCATGCTGTATACGTTAGCATCTTATTGTAACTCAGGGGAACATTGAGGATATTACAAAAGGCCAATTTGTTTGATGATTTAAAACAAAGCCCTGGAGGGGTAATTACTTTCATCTTTTAATTCATTCTATGTTGAAGTCGCTCCTGAATTAAGGATATTGTTTGTTACTGAGAGTGCTTTGCATACACACGACAAATTGTTCCTGGATTTGTGAAGCCAAAAAAAAAAAGAGCAACTGTAAGCAGAGTTTCTATTTTTCTATTTATAAAATACACAAATACTTAAACTACAAAAAGAGAAACATCACAACTCTGTGGATGCTATTTAGGCAGTAGCTCGCATCAGTGGGATGCACAGAGGAAAATGATCTATTTCTAGCTGCAGATAAAAATGGCACTTTTCATAAGAGAAGTTCTTGTTAGAAAAAAACAAAACAAAACACATAACTATGATTGTTTTCTCTGTAGCTGCTGCCAGCACAGAAAAATCAACATTTGCTTAAACTTACAAAAGCATCTTTAATCTTTTTTGTGCGATCTGACCTCGTCTCTCTTTATTCTTAATGAAAAGACATCACACAGGTGGAAAGTCAGACACACAGTCCCCTGAAGATAATCTAAATTTATCCTCAGAAGAAGAAGAAGAAGAAGAAGAAATATTCTCATCCTTTACCTGACAGGCAGTGTTCTGTCCCCTTTGCGGCGATCCATCTCCCGCTGGGGAACCGGGTACCATCGGAAATTCAGCTTCCAGTTGAATCCGCCGTAAGTCATATCAGAGCCTGCCATGTACTCGAACGTCTCATCGCTGATGACATCTATGATAGGACACACCACTGCCGTCCTGGAAGACACAACAGATTGAGATAAACTTCATCAAGGCTTGTGTTATGCATTATGTAAATTCATGCTCTGATGATGATTCAACAAATTCAAAAACATAATGTAGAACAGTGTGATGGTATATTAACATTTTCACTGCATTTTGAACACACCAACCCAAAACACAGAGCACACACTGCCAAGTCTAAACATCCATCCATCCATTATCTATACACCGCTTAATCCTCACTAGGGTCATGGGGGGCTGGAGTCTATCCCAGCTGACTCAGGGTGAAGGCAGGGGACACCCTGGACAGGTCACCAGTCTATCACAGGGCTACACTTAGAGACAGACAACCAAGCACACTCACATTCACACCTACAGACAATTTAGAATCACCAATTAACCTCAACATGTTTTTGGACTGTGTGGGAGGAAGCTCCCACACAGAGAACCCGGAGAGAATCCACGCTGCACGGGGAGAACATGCAAACTCCACACAGAAAGATCCCGGTGCCCCCACCGGGACGCGAACCAGCGACCTTCTTGCTGCGAGGCAACAGTGCTAACCAACTGCACCCAAGTCTAAACAAAATGCAACTAACTATGAATTTCATTATTGACTGTTGAGCAGATGTTTTTTCCCCCATTAATCATTATTAGCTGCAATCAGTTAAAAGTTCACTTTTCAATTGATCAACATTTATTTTATTTCTGATTGTGACAAAGGCATCCTCCAGTGTTCTTCCCCTATTACATTCAGCAGATTTGGTTGATTAAATGCCACAAACAATTTCGCAAATGATCAAACAGAGTTGCATCCTCTGGGCAGTCTTTTACTGTGAACTCCAGAAATCTCCAGAAATAGCTGTTATGTTATCAAAACAGCTTCAAAGCACCTGTTAAACTTAATAACGACACCGGCCATCATTAACAAAGACACAATAATACAACTACTGTCTGCAAGAAAAATACATGCACGTCCTCAGCATGGACAAAATGATAACGCAATAACAGCAGACCTGGAAATTTAAATGTAAATTGATGTATCTGTCCTTTATCGTAAACTACGTAAAGGTCAAAAAGCATGACTGATTCTAACGGCTGTAGAAAGCTACATTTCTTGCCTTTGTTTTAGAACTGGACAGCATTCATTCAGTGAAAACGCATCATATATACACATGCTAACACTGGGATGATGAACAAAATGCTCACGTTCAAATCAGTGACTTCGAGTGCACTGTTCATAAAAACTAACAAAATGGAAATTGACTGTGAAGTGAAGACTTTTTACTGCATTAACACGGCTGATTTAAAACACTTCTGTCACATCGTGGCACAGTACGTATTAGCACAGGGCAAGAAGTTAATACTGTATCACGAACCTGATTTTAAAGAGCCCTTCACTGGATTCAATAAAGTTCCCCGGACCATCAACACGCGGCCGCGCGCCATCTCATCAGTCTGCGCTCGGACTTTAAGACATCGATACACGTGCAGCAGCGTTCAGGAAAAGTGAAATGGCTCCATAATATAATATTCTGGGTCATATGATACCAGTTTCTTCCTGAGGGAAAATGAATGTGTCTGACCTCAGATAAGATATGGATCACAGGAGGGTCATTATCAGTCCATCCACCACATTCGTGTCGTTCTCTCACACACAGCAGACACACTTTGTTTTCTACGAGGAGGTGCATCTCTCAAGCGAACAAAAGCCTGTTCTGATGTCCTGGTAAATAACATACCTACTGTAAACTAAGACAACTTGTTTAATAATTGTGCAGCTACACCAAGTTGGAGAGAACATCCACTATCATCCACTGATTCAGTCAAGCCTCCACATGTTTGTCCCTTGACACTTAAACGTCTACGAGCATCAGTTGTAGATTTTACCCAACACAGCTCCAGTAACTAAAGCTAGCCTTTCCTTTGAGGATGCAGCAGAAGTGATTATCGTTTCCTATCAGCAGCATCGGGCTCAAGCAGCGTGTTCGTAACTGACAGTTTGCTGTCCCATCAAAATTCAGACAGAGCTTTGGCTCAAGGACCCAATGATGCAACTCAGGTGAAATGTGATAACAGCAATATTAATAAAGCATGTTTTAGGACCCACTAGGCAGAAGATGAAATTGGCTGACATTGAGGAGCTTTGCAGCATTGTAGTGCACCGCTCGTTATTTCCTATCAGCGCCTTCGATATCAATATCAACATTAAATTCAAAGCGCTCAGTTGTTGTACGCTTTGGCTCCTACCTGTCCTCTTTAATGCGAGCCAGCAGGGGTTCCAGCCAGCCAACGGTACACTCGCAGTGAGCGTCCAGGAAGGTGATGACCTGTCCTGTAGTGGCAGCCGCCCCCCTTAACCTGGCTCTGATGAGACCTGAACGCTGCTCCATTCTCAGGATCCTCACTGGCACCTCCAGCGTCCGGACGTAGTTCTCCAGCTTCTTCTTCAGAAACTCTAAAACAAAACCGAACACAATCCGGCACGGGTCAGCCTGCAGATTACCTCAACCTAGCTAACAGTTAATGGGTTAATTCATTGGTCAGTGGAGGTTGCAGGTGTCAGATTTACTGTCCTACCTGATTCCACTGTCCCCTTTTGCCCCATCTATCCTCCACCCGCCCTCCCCATGTCCTCTGCATGAGTGCAAACATCAGAACAGAACATGCTGAAATAGTGCTGTGTGGATCCGTCCGGGCAACTTTGTTTGTTTCTCATTTACAGAACCAACGCTGCATACGAATGAGTCCAGACTGCTGCTGTGAGAGATTCACTGAACTTGACAGAAAGTGTACAGGATTAAAATCCCAACCTCAACTATTTTTTAAAGTAAAAAAAAAAATCCTTTATGAAATGAAATTTTCTGTTTTAAGCTAAATATCTTTTGTTAGGCCATTGTTTGGACAAATGTAAAAGTGATGTTTCCATTTTTATAGTGACTATAGTTGGCATTTTTTTCTAATATATAATAATAATAAATCATTTCTCTGTTAATTAGGAATAGAATTGGTGATGAAACCAGTTTCTATGCACTTCCACCAGTGACAGATGAGCCCGGAGGCATCATGTTGTTCCATTCTTCTGCCTGTCCCGTTGTCAGGAACACCTTCAGGGAACTTTATTACATTTGGCACAAACATCCTCTTGGAGTCGAGACTTAACTGAGTACATTTTTCACAGTCAAAGGTCAAGATCACTGTGATGTCAAAAAAAAAACTATTTTTGGCCATTGTTCAAGAACTCATATGCTAATGATGACAAAAATGTACACTAAAGTCTACAGGGAAAAAAATGATGATACTATACTACATCCAAAAGGTCGACTTCATTGTGACGTCACAATGTTCTGAAAAAAACCTTTGGCCATCATTCAAGGCCACAACTCAACACAACACTACATAAGGAGAGTATGTGGAAAAATTGAAGCAACATCTCAAGACATCAACCAGGAAGTTAAAGCTTGGGCGCCATTGGGTCTTCCAAATGGACAATGACCCTCAGCATACTGCCAGATTAGTTACAAAGAGGCTTCAGGACACCAAAGTCAATGTTGTGGAGTGGCCATCGCAAAGCCCTGATCTCAATCCTGGAGAAAATTTGTGTGCGGAGCTTATAATGGCATGTGGAGCAAGGCGACCAAAAAACCCGACTCAGGCCCCATTTACCTGTAGCAAAAACGGTGCTATTTCAATGCATTTGGGCTTTTGGATTACTTGTAAACGAAGCTACAAGTCACCGTTGTGTTTTTTCCAGGATTCTGATTGGCTAGCACGGCTTTGTGCGTCTCGTTACACTGCCCCCTATAGGTTTGGCAGCTCGGTTTGTGCAAACGAAGATTTTTTTGAAAACGATCTGGTGTGAACAATGTTATTTTTGAAAACGTAGATCCGTTTTTTTGAATACTCGGCTATGTGTAAATGTGGCCTCAGTTCCACCAGTTCCATCAGGAGGAATGGGCCAGAATTCATCAAACTATTGTGAGAAGCTTGTGGAAGGAAACCCAAAATGTTTGACCCAAGTCATACAGTTTAACGACAATGCTACCAAACACTAAGGAGATTTTAGAAAGTAATAAAAAAATTCTCTCATTATTCTGACGTTTAGCAAATAGAAATAATTTTGGTAATTCTAGTTGATCTAAAGCAGGAAAAGTTTAGCCTGTTTAATGTCAGACAGTGAGAAAAAAAAGGTTATGCATCTTTTTATAACGCAATATATACGTAAACTTCTGGTTTCAACTGTAGATGCCTGATCTTTTTGTGCAACTGCAAATTCAAGCATATACAGCAGGAAATAACAGATGGTGCCTGTTCAACTAAAGTAGTAGAAAAAGTGTTTAACCTGGATTATTATTTAACAGCAGAATATAAAGGAACATTTGCTGACAACAGTAGTTAAGGTAGATGCCCCCCAATACCAAAAGGTACTGACCTCTGGGTATTCCCACATTGTGTGCTTGTGTGTGACTGAACTTCAAAGAGGGTAATGAGAGTAAAATACGATGAGGATCTGGTGAGCTTTCAACGGCTACGGTGTGCCGTCATGACAAATTTATAGCAGGCTATTTGATGATGTGGATTTCTCGGGGTCGTCGTCTAAAAGTAAATTTGAGGCATACTAGTTGGTATTACGGATGTTTAAATCTTTTTGACAGGTACATTACATACTGCAAGGTGAGAACTTGTGGATGGCACAAGTCAACAGAAACTCTGGAAACACATTTTCTATTATATATTTACATCACTGATATGTGCAATATTGTTCTTTTCCACATCCAGAGGAATCTGAGCAATGTGCAAAGAAGTAGTACTTATGTACATATATACATATTTTTATTTCTATATTCTGCTGGCGTCTACCTACACATTAGAGCAGCAAAGAGGATGCTGCTGTAAAGAATTACCTCATTTTATCTATTCGGCAGCAACTTTACAGGTTAGTAATTAATAGGGAATCTCAACTGCAATTAAAAAAGAAAGCAGAAATAGGCAGAACATATTTTTTTACATCTTTAAATGCTCTAATCAGAAAACCTGCTTTTTTTGGAATATTAGAAAATGTCTGACCTCTAAACAATATGCTACAACTCTTGATCCTTCGACACTGCATCGAGCATTTGTTGTTTCAGGCTTCAGCCAGGAGCTCTGAATTTAAATGTGAGGATGTTGTTTTGAATAGAGAATGGAAGAAATTCTGATCCTGAAGTGCGAATCTGAAGTATTGGCTGCATAGACAGAAACAAAAACAACTTTGGCGTTGCCTAAAATTGTTTTGTGATAGCTGTTCTATTATATTATTATTATTATTATTATTATTATCATCATCATTATTTATCAGCGTCACAATCTAAATGATTACCGTTAGCTGCAGCCCTCTATCCCAGTTTAGTTATCATCAGCTGTTCTACATAGTAAACACTGGTTCCACAGATTCTTGTTTTTATAGTAAAAGCACCACAGTGTTTTTTATACAACCACCAAGCTGATGATCTCTGTCAGAGCTTTAGTGCCCCACGTTGCCTGTCCTCCTACTCATGTGCATCCTGCATGCTTGACTACGGAGTTACAACTGTGAGTCTTGTCAGACATCAGATGTTGTCCATTTTGCGAACTGCCCCAGCGTGAACCGCTCACCTCGCTCGCTGGCGTCGTCGACCAGCACGACCTCCACTAGCAAGTGTCTGGGAGAACGGTTGATGACGCTGTGAACGGTCCGCAGGAGGGTGCTCCATGCCTCGTTGTGAAACACGATTACAATGCTGGTGTTGGGCAGGTCATCCGAGTACACCTTGGTCTTACAGCTGACAGAGCGACAGAGAAGAAAAGGAAATCAGAACTGAACAGAGGAAAGTTGTTGCACCAAAACTGTAGGTTCTGAATCTTTCTTGTAACCCATTCATTTAAAGCCAAATCTCCTTGTGATGCATATTCACGACTTCTGAACACATGAGCAGCTCAGACAGGACACTTTGTCAGATTTACCCACTTATTTGGGATCACATGCATTTGAGTTTGGCGGTGACTCTGGAACAATCTGAGCAAGCATGACACAGACAGTCCCTGAGATCACAAACCCCTACGGCAGAGCCTTAAATTTATAATATTCAAACAAATACAGAATGAACACAAGAACAAGGAGACCAACTAAATGGTCCTCACTTCACAAAATCCAGATTACATAGTTCTAATGTACAATAATGAACCATCTGCATCCTACAGTCCCACAATATGGGAAACAACCGGGGTTATTTAATTCCATTTTATTTGTATAGCGCTGTTTACAACATATGTCATCATACAGCGCTTAACATGGAAGGTGAGGACCTTACAAATTGAACTGTTTTAAAAAGGGAGGTGGATCTGCAGAGGCTGATGCAGCAGCGATATGGTGAGCATGAAGCAGGCAGAATGAATGAACGCTGCCTCAGTTATAAAGCACGCGAAGTGGGTGGGCTGGACTTAAGCAATGAATGATTGGACAGAAAGGGCCTCGTGACGCCCTGACTCCGTGTCTGTCTGAACTAACACAAAGCTCCATTTTATCTGAAGAGTGATTTTTCCTTCTCAGTGGCAAATATTTGAGCAAAAAAAAACTTTTTTTTTTTTCTTTTTTTTGCAAAATCAACATTTTTATTCCTATTATTGTTTACTCTTCTGGGATCTTCTGGCTATGCCTTGAATGTAAAATTACATCAGACTATAACAGATTCTTGCAATGACCATCCCCATTACAACTGTGTGACAAACGGTTGATTTATGTTGAATGGAAAGCCATAAATGAATAATTTAACCCAATAAATGCTCAAACATCACTGCTTAAAGCTTCTCAAATGTTGAACTGAATATGTTTGTTGTAAGTGGACGCCACGTGATGATTATTCATAAAACATTTTTATATTTTATTGACTAAATGAATAACTCATTTTATAAAGATGATTAACTGACAATAGAAATGTCACTGGTAGCAGCTAAACTATATATAAACCATACATACTTGTGCTTAAACCTAAGCATGACTGCATACACTCAGTCTAAATTTGTTGGTCTAAACCTACGGTGTTGGTTTCCACATGCAGCTCATTATTTTGTATGAAAAGTGTCTGAGAAGAGAATCCGAGTGTCCTGCTGCTATCCAATGCTGCCGTCAGTGCAAAAACATTGTCACAGGAGATTTACTGACAAATATCGCCGTAGAAAGTAGAAAAAGTAAAACCAGGGTTGACAGCTATGTCAGCACATCCCCAGGTTTAATGTGATGTCTGTCAAAGTCAAAGTCAAAGGGTGAGAATGTGGCAAACTTGAGACGCTGCTGAATAAAGAATTAGCTACGTTACAGGAGAGTAGGTGGACAGCGAAAGCGGCCCGTACGGCGGAGGGGAGGGCGGGAGGTGAAAAAAAAAAAAGCCACCGGAGCACACAAGCATTGCTAGTTCAGTTCCGTCTATTCAATGTGACAGCGCTGACTGACACAACTAGGCCAGGAGGCTGCCTTCAAGACAAAATGTTATTGCCCTTCAGAGGCAGCGACTGGCAATTCTGCACGGTTCTGGATAATTTTCACCGCACAGCTGGTGAAATTTTGCAAGGCTAAGCTGTGTTCAGTAATAAAACTGCTGTATTATTTATACTGAGAGAATGATGGAGTCATAACGGACAGAAAAACTGGGAGTTGAAATCAGCTGAATGTTCACTTTTTCTCTCTGTGATACAGGTCTTCCTTTTGCACGATGTAGTCAAAATGATTTTTAGATTTTCCCCCCTCCATTGTAGAAAATGTGGAAATGTTATTTTCTTTGTCTTGGCAAAAACAGCACATAAAAAGTGAAGAATGTAGCTGCATTAAAAAAAAGATAATCATGTGGCCCATTTCTCATGTGACAGGTAGACACTTTGGCAGCCACTTAATGAAAGTGCTGGGGAGAACTCAACAGGGATATTTAAACATGAATCACTTGGATATTGTCTCCACGCGAGGCAAACGTCTCTGCATATCAGCACCCTTAAACGCTCGCGCTCCACACAGAGCGCTCAAGGAGATCATGAATGACAGTGAAGAAACCCCAGTCCCATTCCAACATCAGGCCTAATGTACACAAGCTGACGGATCTCAAGGATCCTGCATTGAAACGGTGAACTTAATTAGACGTCTTTTCATTTTGGGTGCAGCTATTAGCATCGGTAATGGACTCGACGGTTTAACTTTTTAATTTTAATTGTCAGAATAACTTTCCTTAGCTTAGCAACCCTAGCGAGACAGTTTGACTAAAGAAAGACTCCTGCCTTGCCGAGCCATTTAGCACATTAGTCTGAATACTGGGATGGTGTCTAAAGAGAGCAGCGTGAAGTCTGCGCAAATTAAAGAGTGGGAGAAAAAAAAACACCTAAAAACATGAAGAAAGAAAGAAGCAAAAAAAATATAAGAGACCCTGGCCCTCTGATAGCTTTGACATCCATCACACATTTCAAAGTTTGCAGGTAGCACCGGCGCAGGTTGAGGATTGTGTTCTGGTGGTCCGCTGGAGAGCAGACGTGAGTGTGTGTGTTTGGTGCGTGTCTTTGTCCGAGTACATATTTGATTGTGTAGGTGCTAAGAGGTCAGTACAGCAGCGTGATTCACAGCATTCATCTGGCAGACACCCAAGCTTTACGCACCCGTCCAACCTCACGTCTGGCAGACTCCTGTTGAGTGCAATCATGTCACTGGCCATCAGATTGAACTGGTTAATCTTAAAGAGCTCCTTCATTTTCTCCTGGTCGTCCTTGGGGATGTTTACTGCCTTGCCCATCTCGCCCGGACCCTCGTGGCTCCGAGATATCACTGCTGTAACACAACACGGAGAAACATCGGTTAAGAACAGAAAGCAACCGCGTAATACAAGACATCCTATTGTACATACAAATATTTATTGATACAAAAAAAAAAAAGACCAACATAAAAGGGTTTTGTTAGCGGTCTCTTCAGGCTGAAGAGGATGCAGCAAAGCATGCGTGCTCCACTTCTCGCCGCTTTGTAAAGAGTCATTTTTATACTGTTGAAAAGCCCGAGCATAAAGCACAATTTTCCAGATCAATGTGCATGCACCACACAGGCTCTACTGTATTTATTATAACAGCAGTTCACGTACCAGCAACATGTTCACAGCACATATGAACAGGATATCTGCAATACAACGCCACTGCACGTACAGAAGGTGCGATAGTCTCACGCTATTAAAAGCTGGGAAAAATATATGTTCCCTCAAACATCAGTGAGCGTGAAACAGCGTAAAACCTTTAACGCAGACAGTGTGGGCACTCTGCCTAAGCTCTCTCCTGGTCGCACTGGCTTAGGATGACTGGGTATTAAGCGCTGTACAGTCTGGTGGCTATATTTAATTTTAATTTAATCTATTAGGAGGTTTTGAGTTCAGAGATTTAGGAGAATATATTAATAAATGAGAAAAAGGCTAAATGACTTCTAGAGATTGCTGAGCTACATTCAAGTACCTGCACAACGCCCGCATGCCGGCGTTGCTGCTGCAGCTGCTGCAAAGAGCCAGGGAAATAACCTGCCATGGATTTATGACTTTGTTCTCTCTGGCGCTCTCAATTCAATTGAAAGGACACAATAATAGTAATTTGAACATCACGAGAACATTACGATTAATATGTATTTATTATATACAGCATGCGCAGTATATTGTTTTCATGTGTGTGTGGATACAAGCAGGTGCTGTGTGTGTGTTTATGTCATATCTCTCTCTCTCTCTCTCGCTCTCTCTCTAATAATCTCTGAGAACAGAGGCAGTGATTTCAATGAAAGGGGGACATTAGCTGCATGGCCTCCAGTTAAGAGGATTCCCAGCGACCCTTTGTGGAGACGGGCTGGTGTCGACTGGCTGTTTAACCTCAACTGATCCTGCTCTTTTCTTAATGGTGCTGCTGACACTCTCCATTTGGACAACGGCTTACATCGTGATGGGCGCAGCTCGACAGTTGAGCTGGATGACTGAGCAAAGTGTCCATCAAAACGCATCCTCAGCCGCGTTTCCAATCCATCAGTCTGAACGTATGGATAAACGCAGGGCCTGAAAACGTCTCGCACGACAAGAACGTCGAGCAAACCATTAATGCTGCTTTGCGTTTCTGAAGAAATCGTGAAATTGCCACCAGCGAAGCCGATGCTGAGCTATACTGCTGGATGGATGGGAGCCAAAGTGCAGTGAAACGCTGGAGGCTCAACTGTATTGCTTTGTATTTGTCTGGGAGCTAAACTGCACTGCTGGCTTAACTTTATATAGGAGAGATGCTGAGAGGAGATGAGGAGTTGGAATAATAAAAAAAGGATAAACGGGGCAAAATATGATATAAACAATGACAGGTGTTGAAATGAGACTCATACATGTAAGCTGAAATCCTGCGTGTATGGAGAGGGAGTTGAGGTGACATTTAAGTGACAGATAAGGGTAACCATGCTTTTTTTTAGTCTTGTAAGAACTGAAAGAAACTAAACTTGGTGCAAAAAGGCCATTGAGATTCCCATTTTTAAAGTCCTCAGTGCTCATGAAGCCTGCCATAAGCTTAAGGGTTTTTTTTGTTGTTGTTTTTTATTAAATCCTGCATATTTCAGCCTAGAATTAGGTTAAAGTTAGGGTTTGGCATTTAGTTGTCACACATAAGGGACTGCAGTGTCAGTGATTGAGCTGAAAGACACGCTTGTGATTGTATATATGGATGTGCACAATGTGTGTGTCACATTAGTTAATGATGGCGCAGAATATAAAAGGCAGGTGTCAAATGCCGGATCAGCACTCTAGGATTAAACAACTAATCAATTACATTAAAAAAATGTTTGTAAATGTAACACGTTCCTCCTTGCAGGTATTGTGAGATACAGTCTGTAGCAGGAGTTTCACAGAAATGGTAATCGAGGGTTTGGTAAACACGGCGGAGATCAGAGAAGCAGTCTGATCGGCTCATCTGAATTAGCTGTGTGTGCCCACCTGCAATTAAAGGTTGCCATGGCGACGGCAACCGCTCAGTTACTCCTGGGTCGAACGGTTCACGCGTGAGTCGTCACCCATCCTGACCTCTGGATGTTACATCAGTTCATTTGAATAAAGAAAAAAACCGCGATCAAACGTTGGGTATTTTGGAAAACATGATGGATATGAATAAGAAATGTAGCAACGAGGCTCTCAATGAGCTGCACATTGTGACACCTGGACAGGTTGAATGGCAATGAAGTAGCTGTGTAAAATAAAAATGTAAGCAGAAGGTTTCCCAGGATTGCAACAGCAATTCCTCCGATGATAAGGTTTGTAACGTGATAAAAAATTAACCTGCTGTTTTGTTTTTCTACCTTGTTAACGTATCCATATGGTGTTTATATATATATATATATATATGCTTGAAGACACATCATTAGCGAAATAAGCAGTAAATACCATGGCTGAGCATTTCCATCTTTAAACTGCCGAGTATCAACGACAGCATCAAAAACACAGATTCAGACTTCCTGAGTTTCAATCCTGTCAGACCTCATTAATCTTTACATTCTAGAGAAAGCAGCTGTGCAAAGACACATCAGTGCCATTTTAAGGTAGACAGGGATTATTTTTATTGAAAATAAACTTCTAGATATGTAACGTTGACACACAGAGATGAGTTTTTTGGAGTTAAATCAACAACAGAGAGGAAATTCAAAGTACATTTCAGTCAAAACGGAAACAATACTGGAGCTATTTTTCAACTAATTGGTGTTGCCTTTTAACTCATCACACCTCAAATGTTTTATTCACTCTAAAAGGTTGCAGTGTTGATCAGTCAACTATTTTCAGACTGAAATATCTGAACAACTATTGGATGGATTATAATATGAGAGTTTGCGCATTACCGTGCCCCTCAGGACTAATGACTTTAGCGATCACGTGACTTCTCCTCTATCACCAGGATTGTGTTTGATATTTTTGGCTTTAAGTATAATCTCCCATCGACTGCGTGTGTGCATCTCTGAGCACACTTGCTATTTCGGTCACCGTGTGTGCAGCAGTGCAAAGTGCAAAGACGCAGCTGGGGTAAGTAGAATATAGATCAGAGGATGTGGTGATCAATACAGTCGTTCAGTTACATCACTGATCTCATCACTCTGACACAGCTGGTGCCAATCACGGTGAAATTTTAAAATATATCAAAACAAAACGAGCTAAAAACAGATTGCAAGTGTGCGGTCAAAAAATGAACAAAGACGTTTAGTAAATGTCTGTGCTGCTTGTACTGAAATGAACACGTACGCTGCTTCATTATGTCTTTACGAGTTAGAGTTTTCCACCCATGAAACATAAGAGTGGTGTCAGAATATAAACACTGAAATAAGGTTTTGCTTAGCAACACACAGATCAGAGGAGCCTTGGAAAACACTGTTTTCTTCCCCAAGCCTGCCACATTCTCCTCCTGACACAGAGCAGTCATTATAAAAGATGATCGTGATCATCTGGGAAGGAAATAGAGGCTTTGCCTGTCCTTGGGTCAATCAGCCTTATTCAGCGTCCCTGCCTCCAGCTTTATACTAACTTATGTGAAAAGGTTCCCCTCACCTTCACAGGTAATGAGCCTTCTGAGACGCGACTGCTAACACAGTTGTATACTAAAGTTTGGATACCCCTGAGCAAATTGCGTGTGCGGTTTATTTTTGAAGTGAAACCTGTGCAGCAAATGAGTCGACTTGCTTTAAGATCTGAGGTGTGTTTACGCTTTCTTGTATGTAGACCTTGTTTAACACGGACTTAAAAGTTTCTCTGATGTTTCGGTCAGGATTGTGAGGGCCACTTCCTAATGGAGCTCATGGTGGAGTTTGACTTATGCTTTGGATCCCCGTCCTGTTGTAGCAGCAAGCCTGCATTTCTGCCACAGACTGTATAAAAGATGGACGTAGCTACCGTGACATCACCCGTTGGTTTCTACACTGAGAAAATGAAGCCAGGGTTTTGCTACTTCCTGGTTGACATCTTGGATTTTTGGAGCCAGTGACACAAAAATCGTCGGAGGGGGGCGGAGCCATAGGAGTAGCGATTGGTCAGACGGATTGAGAGGCGGGCCCTCTCTGCCCGCCCACATTTACCGCCTTCTGCTCGCTTCATCTGTATGGTCGCTGCCGACTGTCAATCAAGCCAGCCACGCCCCTTGCCCCGCAAAATGTTGACGATTTTTAAAAAATTCAGTATTGATTTATTTTCCGACTGGCCACCTGATCTCTGGATTTCAAAAAATCCTGAGCTGTAGGAATGCGGCATTTCGTGATCTGTGATGGGAGCCAGGGGTTTTTGGAGCCAGCAACTAGCGGACGTAGTTTTTTGACACTTCCGGGTTGGCTTCATTTTTCAGGGCCGGTTGCTACATCCATCTTTTATACAGTCTATGATTTCTGCTATATTCAGAATCTGATGTTAGGTGGGATTCATTGTCCCTGTATCTGTTTTCTACGCCACCGGCTGCCGCACAGCCCCGAGCATTACGTTTCCACACTGATGCTACTTTTTTCCTTCTTGGTGGTTGAGGCCCAAGAGCTCAATTTAAACTCTGACTGCCAACATAATTTATTTCAAAATGACTCTGGTGTATCCTGGCATACTTTAAATGTTGATTTCTGTGATGAAGTTGCAGGTAAGTTGTCCTTCCTTGTGGACCATATTTGTGATTAGAGAGCGGACGGTTCCTCATCACTTCTGCGTAAGTGAAGCCTTCCTGCAGTTTCTTAGCCGTGATAAGGAAGGTTTTGCTTTCCCCTTTCCTACCAGCAGACTATCAGTTTTATCTGAAGGGTTTCTTGTTCCTTCAGATCTT